TACCACATTCACGGTTCAGCTTTGGAAATGATCATGTAGACAATGGACTCCGGACTAGGTGCGTTCCTCTCAGTCCTAATACCAATATGAACATGTTGGGAAAACAAAGTCAAACAACTTCTACACAACGAAAGAAGACTGCGACCACACCATCTTGGTCTTCATATCTTCGATTAAATCTTCTCTTGAGCAAAGTAGTTATCTAACTACCTCAATTAAACTCTTCGTTGCAGCTATGACCCCTTGAAATTTTCTTCCAATTGTTCATGTGTACATTTGTCAATTCAGGTGATAAAGGCGATCCCATAGGAAGCTCAAATCTCTGTTTTTAGATGCTGCCGTTTAATGTGAACTAGGTAGTCCTTAGTGCCAAGTTTATTAGTCCTATTAATGATTCCCTTTAGATCCTCTCTGCTTTCAGGATATCCTTTTCCCGGTTCATGAATTCCTTTCAACCATCTTTTCCTTCGAAACAGAAAGTAATGGCACAACATATCACTAAGGAATTCTTTCAAGCTCAGTCTTTATTAATATCATTGAAGTTCGTACGGTTTTAATTCTTTTTGGAATTCGTCATTATATGAAAATCACAAAAAGTTGTTAGTTAGGCAAGTTAATTACATACGTTTTCTGAAAGTTTACTCTGTCACTAGAATTCTACCTAGATTTTGTAGTATTTCTAGACTTAAATTACCTTGTAAGGCTAAGACTGATCTTTTTGATGTGAGCCATTATTTGGTTGGTATTAGACTTAAGGAAAACATTACTCTGCTACATTCCTTAATTAGAACTAAGACTAGATTTAGGTTGCTTTTAGTTCGGAAAACTTACTTAAGCTCCAAAGTATAGCGGGTAGGTTATATGACGATGTTTTTCTACAGGTTAGAAAGACACATGATAAGAAATTAAGAAATTTGAGCATACAAATTAGATCAAGGAAACGACACATATCTAACGAATGGAAGGGTGAAACGATAACTTTACATATTGCCTAAGCAAACTAGGAGAAACAAGGAGACAAGATACACAAAAAAGACGCCTAGATCAAGTATTCATCGTTAACTAAAGGAAGAAGTGGATGAGGAAGATTCGGAAATCAAGAGATGATTATCTTAATGAGTGTAGTCTATTCGAGGAAACAACTACACTTTGAGGGCCTTACTGTCGCCGTACTAGGTAGATGGATAATCACAACCGTCACACATGTTTGGCATTACGGCCAAATTGACTAAAAATCTACTCGAGATACAGGTGATGGAAAAGACGTCCAAGTTCGCTCTAGGTATGCGGGTTAAATCAAGGAGATAGCTTGTGAAGACAATGCTTAATATCTACAGGCATGAGAATCAGAGGCTGGGCGCTTTGCAGGAGACGAGAATGTACATAAAACGTACACTGGGACTCGAACCGAGTGAAATAGGCCAATCAGAAAGACAAAAAAACCGATCTACGGATCCATGGGGGAGATCTCAAAAAAGGCCGGAGTAGGATCAGCAAATAGAGAAAGAATGGGCAAGGCAAACAGCAGGTTTAATGATCCTACAGTTAAATCGTCAAAAGGAGACACCTCATGAAGAGTGGAATATAAAAAAGTCATAAGTTGTAATAGGAAAAGAGTGAGACAAGAGGGTAGGGAGTAGACAGATGGGCCAGAATAGAAAGAGGGGTAATAGCACAATCGTTTTGGCGGAAAGATGGCCAAGGGATTGACTTCACTCGTCTTTGATTAATTGTAGCTTGGTGCTGAGGATGGCAAGACTCACTGGTAATGCTGGCTAAACGCCTGGAAATGTACCAAGTCTACGATCTAATGCTGGGAATAATGGTAATTACTATAGCAGAGGACAAGGTGCATCTAACTAGGTCGCCATTACATTACGACTGATTCGAAAACAAGGTCAGACCACTTCCATGTATTGAAAAGAGACTTCGACCAAAATATAGGGCACAACACCATGGTCCTCATATCTACATTAAAATACTATAATAAAAGTAACAATATCCAAAGAGATAATAATTTATTAACGTACCAATCGAATTGGAAGTAAGCCGAGCTGAGGATGATTTTTGTCTGTTAAAACTCGCATTGTTCGGCGTTGAATCATGTACACTTCTTGCGCTAGCTAACACGGAATCACCGGAGATAGTCGATGAAGAGAAAGAAGTTACAGAATCGGCGGCAGCTGTTGTCATAAGACCACAGGTGAGGCGAATTAGAGACATCAGACCGATCCGGTAGAAGACATTAATAAAGACATCAGGGAGTTTGGATACCAAGCAATGAGCCAACTCGAGGGCCGATAGAACATAATCTTCAGTCTCCTGGATGCATGCAAAATAAAAAGAGCACAAAAAAGCGCTTAAGATAGTATATACGAGAGTGGTTACTTATTTCGCAGTGATGAATGAAGCGTGTCTGGAACAAAAATAGAGCGAGATAATATTCAAATCTTTGGTTGGTTTACGCAAATTGCATTGAGTCGTTATAAGCAGCAAAATCAGCACATAATATAACAATACAATAAAATACAATAAAGATATTTCAATAATTAGCTTTGGTAGAGTTCTAGTATCTTGCTTCTCTTTATGGTAGATCTAGTTCACTATTGAATTAATAGGCTGGAAAAGGACTACATATATGTATATATTAATATAGAAGAACAATGTAGAAAATAGAAATCAAATAGTAAAGTAAGTTAAAATCCAGTGAGCTAAAGCAGATAACAGAAAGCAGGGTTACCTCAGCTATGATGTCGTAAACCATTTGAGCAAGATGGTATGCAAATGGAACTCTGCGGACGATGATCAGACTTAGGGGTCTCAGGTGGTTGGTATCCACGAAACTTGCGATCCTATTGACAAGGGTGGCAGCATGACGCCTATGAGGTAATAAATATTGAGAATAACAGACAGGTTATTACGTGAAAAAGGGCAATACCATATGTTCATCTGGAACGTAAATATATTTCCAATTAAATAGTAAATTATGCACCAATTTGGCATGTTAACTAATTTAAATTCATTTCAAAAGTTCTAGAGTTAGTTTAAATCAATTTTCGCAAAATAGCCATTTGGAGAGAGACTTCGAAGAAAGGGCCTTTGATATTGCCATGCGTTCATTACTAAATCAGACCATGGACTCAGTACATTTCCACATGACCAATAAGGTTAGGATTAAAGTGTAGACACAAATAGTATGTGTAAGAGACGCTAATTGTACCGATAAAAAGGTAATTCTTACGTACAGTGAAATCCATTTGAAAATCAAAACTTGCTCTGAATTCTTCGTAGTTAAGTCAACTAACGAGCAGTTAAACAGCGTGATTGACAGCTTAATTTTTCAGTAAATGGAAAAAATTTGACGTTTAAAGGATTCTTTGATAATTCCATTCAATGGACTTTGAATTTTTTTACGAAAAGCCTGATTGAATGAAAGCCAAAGTAAGATTTGCCTTGAAGAGTAAAGGTCTCGAGAGCACTATCCTGAGATGTGAAGAAATATGTGCAGAGCTAAGACCAAAAGTATGATGCTTAATCGTTTATTCCCAAAAATTATAAAAGCAATAGAAGATTAATTTTACAGTTATCTAGCCTCCGTTTTTTTGGCGCCATTTATTAGCTCTACAAGCGAAACAAGGTACCAAATCAAAAATTGTGTCCGCCATATCACAGATGTAAATTTGGTACGCTTTTACTTGAATTGGAGGATTGTCTCAGTATCAGCCAGAATGGTCCAGTAAAGCCAAACGACAGCTGGCCAAGAGGAATCCGACGCATTCTGATGGGATCAACCTTCAGATCTCTTTATCAGACACTTTAACTCGAGATTACAGTCAGTGAGATAAAACTACATCAAGAGATTAATCGAAACCCAACCTTGCATCGTTATGACATCATCAAAGTGCAACCGCATAAATTAAAGCAGTTTATATTGAGTCAGGAAATTTAAAATAGATATTAAAATGAGTAAGACGAATGTAGGTTAGGAGCTCTGCAAACTACACCTGGTACCAGTGATGGAGATGATGACGTTAAATCAAAACCCACATGTAGTGACACATTCTTAGGCGACATTGGAGGAAACGAGAGCACAAATTTTAGTGAATAAGTGGATGGGCCATATGAAGTAAGGTTGAAAGAGATGCGGCACTAGAAAGTATAAAAAAGTAGCGATGAGTGATGCCACAATTGTTGAACAGAAAATTGGTCAAGGGGATTAACTCTACTTGCTACTTTGATAGCTTGTAACTCTGTGCTTACGATAGCGTCTCTCACGATACCGACGAAACGTCTGGGAATGTACAAAGTCAATGGTCCAATGCTGGAAATCACGAATACTATAGCAGAAGACATAGGACTAGGTAAGTTCCACAAGGTCGGACAAACACAATAATTTTCCAAGTTTCTTAAAAAGGCCA